CAGATTTACAGTGCTGCTTGTGATAGCATGARCAGGGCTTCCAGAAAGCCTCAACCTACTGAGCATACGTGGTACATTCAGACTGTGCAGGAAAACTTGTGAGTCCAGGACACCACCTGCTACATGGCTCTTCCACGTCCTCATTTGGCTTGGGACAGAAATGCTSGGCTCATTATGCCTACGCAGTCTGGTAGAGGGTAGGCAAGGAGGCAAACACAGAAACCCTCTTTTGGCACTGAAAGAAGCATCCAGCTCAGCCTCAAAAACTGCAGGTTCCTTTGCAAAAGGAAGGAGTTGGACCTTTAAGATGTGGGTTTTATTTTCTGCAACTCTACAGCACTTTCGTTACTGATGCTTCTATCCCAGAACCCTGTAAAGTATGTATTGAGGCAGAGATTCAATTAATTTGTAGTGCTCTGCAAGTTATGCATCTAGTCTAACCTAATTACCTATGTTCCCAAGGTAAGGAGTGAGACAGGCATCTGCCAAAGATGTTTCATCATCCCTGTCTCACCCTCCTATCATAGAAAGGGGAAAATTACCCCGTGGTGATGCCTATCTGGTTCCATGGACTGCAGAGGAGCCTCGGTAAGCAGCTTAGACGAGACAGCTAAAATTTAGATGGCTCAAGATAGGTGGGATGAGTCTCACCTTCAGAGTTGGGATATGTTGCAATTAACCTCTGGAGAACCAGCCAGGTTTCCATGGTACGAATCAAGGTTCAGCACGGTAACTGAGGGCAAGAGTAGAGGAAATAAAATACAGTATTAAAGAGGTCCTACGACATTCCTGATTTCAGGCTGTGCCAGTATCCAGCTCAACTAACCTCACAAGATTGTACCACTTCCATCTTAGCCAGAACTCCGTGCCGTCTGGCCACAACTGCTACTAGTTGAGGCTGGAACATCCACTATGCTAGGGGCTAGATGATTCTAGCAAAGAGTCAGGTATAGCCAGGGAAACACAAGTCCATTACATAATGGCCTTTATAACTCCATTAATGCCTTCAGCCTACCAGGAAAAAAATCTGCTGCCAAAAAATTAATGGGATTTTTTTTTTTTTGTTTTCTTGTAAGTATGTGAATGCTTTAGTGAACACTTATGATCTCAACTTATATATTGTTTAACCTTTAAACTACCCATTCCTCATATGCAGGAAGATCTGCTTCCTTATTTTGCAGCTTAGCTCATGAATTCTTTTTCTCTGCTTTTACTTCTCCTTTTTAGGAAAAAAAAAAAAAAAGACAACTCTTTTTAAGATTATTTTTCCTCTCTCCAGTTGTGTCCAATTTCAGAGAGGAAAGTACGTATTCAGTTCTTCAGTCTGACTGTGAGTGAGCACCATAATTTCATTCTCTATTGTGTGGGATGGTAGCATTGCATCATCCTCTGGATTGAGAACAGGAGACAAAGATCCCTCCTTGATGGGTGCGGTCCAAGATTTGGTAGCCAATTTTCAAGCCAAAGAAAGAGCTCTTTTTGTTTTGATTAGTYTCTTCCCATTCTGTTCTCTCACTAGAATCTTAAGTGTAACTACAGGGAAAACAAAGCAAGACCACAACAACAAAAAACTCTCAGTCTAAAGGTAGATAATTATTTTTTCTGCTTAGGCTCAAAATTTGAGAACAGGTATTTCTGCAACTCTAATTTTATGACTTAAACAGTCTTTCTAAAGCTGGTTTATGCTTGTCTAGAGTATCTGAGTATTGAGAATTACCAGCATGTGTAAGGGCATGAGAGCTACGTCACTGAAAATACAAAGAGCAACTGTAAAAACTTAAGATCCAAAATATATACTAAAAATGTAAGAACTGATAGTATCCACATCTCAGGCAAAAAGGACACTCTTGAGACAATAATATCAAATAATTGTCTCAGACATTTATTTGCTGACAAACTGATACTTTCTTTTGTGATGAAACTTCAGTTAATCAAGTGGAGAGCAATTTCCAGTCACAAAAGGAAACTATTAGCTCTTATCAAAACTGTAAACCCCGGAATTTTGCATGGTACATTCTCCATGGGAAGGGCAGAGAGCTGCTCCTTCCCTTCATTACATATGACTTTGCAAAACCCTGCATGAAATTACAAACCTCCCACATGCTCATTTAAAGATACAGTTGTAGACCTGGGCCATTAATGAATTCTTACTCAAAATAAGGGGAGTTACAGAAACAGAGGAAWAATAATAGCTACATTTGAAAAGAACTGCTAAGGATGGCTTATTTTAATCTACAAAGTGCTGGAGATAAGATTTACTTTTAGTAGAAATACACATGAACAAATATGACAGAGGAATTGCTTCCAAAAGTAAGTGAATGGAGAATGTAAGGTAACCCTTCCTTCTAAGGATTTTTCATACATGAAAAGCACCATGCCTCCTTCTAAGACCCTACCCTGCATGTGCAGGGGAGCTGGACTAGATGATATCTAAAGGTCCCTTCCAAACTTAAGGAATCTATAACTCTAAGACTGCTCACAAAGATTATTTGTAAAATAAGGTGATACCACAATTTTAAATTACTAGATGAAGATTCAAATTTGTTATTCAACCTTTTTATTACATTCCTTGTTTTCTCATTTTATATCACTGTGTCCTTTATGTTCTTTCAACATCTCTTTTGACTTGATATCCTCCGTTGGCTCATCAGCTCCAATGTGGCATATGTTTTTTCTCATGGTGTTTAGCATGGATGATCATACTGGCATATAACCCTGATTAGTGTAGGCCTTGTAGACAAAACATCACTAGATCTTGTTTAGTAACTAAAAAACAACATAGTAAAGATTACTGACTCTATCCACACTGCTTTTATGTGTTCTTTATGATTGTCAGGGACAAAGGCAGCTGGTATTCAGCCATACTAGCCCGTACTGAAGAATCCAGCAATGTGTAAAGCCAATGAAAGGTGCCTCACTGATTAAAAGACGGTTAAATGTGTCAGGTCCATAGCAGGTGTTAATAAAAAAGATAACAGACTGACTTTCACTTGGCACAAATCTAGGTAAGGTGCCGATATCTACTTTGAATGTGACTGGCTGAGGAAAGACAGATTTTATGGTGCAGACTTCTCCATTTGCATGCACAATTTACAGCCTAAGCACTATGACTTTTCATGGCCTGGAGAAAGTGAGAACCCTTGAGTAAGTGCTCAGGAGCTGTTACTTTGGCTGCAGATCTGCTTTTATGTTTTATTAGCTTGCCACTCTCATTTTGGGTGAAAATGAGGATGTCTGGTTAAAGAAATGGAAACAAAGAAATATTGACATAACATACCTTACAAGAGTCAGACTGAAGGGCATAGGGACTTGAAGGACTGAAGGACTTGGGTCCTGTGAAGCTTGCCTGATGAAATGCAGCCACTCCCCATTAAAAAAACAAAAAATAAAAAAAAATATATCCCATTTATAACTTTCTCTTAAATTAACAAACGTTTCGATAAACAAGCAGGGATTTCCTGTCTGTTATCAGTTTTAATCTCATATAATGCCTATTAAGGAAATCTATTGAMAAATTCTTTTCTAATTTGCAGTGAAAATGAAACTGTTCTGTGTGCAAGGGCTTCTTGGTTCACTGCTTGGAGTTGAATCAATGGTAGAACCCTCAAATCTCCCAGCTTTTTAATTTCTAGTTGTCCTGGACACTGGAAATTTTGTTAAAGAGAATTTTGTTTGCTCTTTGTTAAAAGAGAATTTTGAGAATCTAACAAAGAATTTTGTTAGATTTATCATTGTACATGTGAGAATGTAGAGCTAAAATGAAGTGTAGAATTTCTCTGGACCTGGTTTGTTCTATATTTACAATATTGCTGAATTCTAAACACCAAAACGACGGTGCCTGTTCCTATTATTGGCAGCATCATTCACAACTACCATTGTTAATATTTCAATAAGTATATGCACCTCCTGGAAGGGACCTGCCCTCAGCATCGTCTTTGAATAAACAGAGTTCACAGAGTTCATCCACTTCTGATCTGTCCAACAGAGAATTTACTTGTTTTTAATATATGAGACATTTTTTCTCCCACTTTTTCATCTCTCAGGAACACCACAGCAGTAAGTTTTTCTTTGCATTTCCCTTCAAGATGATACAAGGGAGAGGAAGCTATCCTATCCTCCAGCTATTTGTAGCTGCAAAAAAGCCCTTTTATCTCTTCCAAGTTGCTCTGGARTAGGTGACAGGTATCTAACAAAGTCCAGAAAATTCTCCAGTCCTGACCAGGGCAAGAAACCACCACTTTTTTAAGACATCTCTACAAAAGCTTAGACAGAATTTGCACATGTACGTGACACTGCACAAAATACTAGGCAAGACCCAAAAGCAGTATGTTTTCCAGGAGGAAAGCTATGCCTGCATAGCCCCAAGCATCCTAGTTTGCCTGCCAAAAGGGCAGCAGTGATAACACAGATAACACCAAKTCTCCAGCTCCAACATTAGCTTGGCCGTTGCTAGCCGAGGGCTATCTTTTCATGTCAGCTTGCTCCAAGTTTTTTTTTTTTCTTTTTCTCCTTACTCGCCATCTTATCTTCTCCTACACAGCACAGCACAAAGCTTGATAGCAGCCTGACACCTCAGACCCAACTAGGAAGTGTCTTTCAGAGTGGACACTTCCAGCCGCTCAATCCCCTATGGGCACACCGGAGGCTATCAGCAAGCCCTTTAGGGGCTGCTCAGCACATAAGCGAAGCATATACTGGGGTGCTTCCCCCAGGAGAGCACCAACCCCTCGCCTCTCCCCAACGGCCGCCAACGGCCGCGCTTTGCGGCGGGGGGCGGGGGGCGGGGGGCAGCGACCAGGCGCGCGCAGGCACCCTGTGCGGCTGCGCGTCGGCGGGGTTGGCGGCGCCCAATGAGCGTGCGCGGGGCGGGGAGGGGAGGGGGAGCGGGGCGGCGCGGCGGGCAATGTTGTCGAGAGTCACCTGACCGGCCGCGCCGCAGTCGGGCCGCAGGCGCTGGGTCAGGAGCAGCCGCGGCCGCGGGAACGGGAGGAGGAGGAAGGAGAGGAGCAGGAGGAAGGCGGCCGCCGCCCCGGTGCCCGTGCGGCGGGAGACGCGCAGGTGAGCGGCGCGCGCGGCTCCCCTTGGCGCTGGCCGTTGAGCTGGGGCGGTGGGGAGGGGGGGGCAGGGCAGCACCATTCCGGCAGAGGGGGGTGGCTGAGGCGTGTTGACACGGGCGGTGCCACTCGCTGTCCCCCGGGCCCCCCCCGCGCGCCGCGCAGTGGTGCGTCCCGCGGCGGGACCCCGGGCGGCGGCCGCGGCCTCCTGCCAGCGCCGGGCCCCGCGCGGCCGCCTCGCCCTCCCGCCCCGCGGCCGTTACCGCGCCCCGGGTGCCCCCCCCCCCGCGCGCCGCCCGTCGTGGGAGCCGCGGCTTCAGGCCGTCAGCAAAGAGGGGCCGATCCCGCCCGTCCCGTTCCGCGCGGGGAGGTCGCTGGCACGCTCCGGGACGTGTGGGGAATGAAGTAACCGTGGAGGAACCGTCACCTGCTGCGCTGTCAAGTTCCGTTCGCGTTCTCCCTGCCGGGCGTGTTAATGTCAGCGTCGTCGTAAATCCGCGCGCAGCCAGGGCCTCTAAAACACGTGTGGAATATGTCATAATAAAATAAAAAAAAAAAAGCCACCACGGAACTGTCAAGGATAACTGTATAAACGTCGCCTGTGTGTGATCGTGCAGTAACGCTATTGAAATTTAATTTGAGGCACGTCGGAGAAGTGCATGAAAAATGTTTGCTCGTAGCAGTGGAGTGGTTGTAATACAGGGAGAAACCCCGTAAACTAAGCTTAGGCGGCACAATGAATGTGGTGGTAGTGCGAGTTTTTACCTCAAAATAATGCAGCATGCTGAAGAGAAAACAAGTGAGAACCACCCTTCCAGGCACAGTRAGTCCAAGATAAAGCTGCTGAGATGATCCAAGTCTTACTGTGTCACTTATATGCTTAACTTTAAAGGTGATTTAAGCAGCATAGCTTTTCTTGTACAGCTTTCATTTATGAATGAAGCTATGTGTGTAAATAGCAAGTAGTAAGGCACCAGAATGCCAGGTTTGCAGGCAAAAACAGTTGTGTTTTTTTTTTTCGAAGCAGAATATCCATTGTTTTGGAAGGTTTTGCTACAAGTTAGCTGTAGTGAATCTTCAGGTGTCCTTCTCTGGGTGTACCTTTTGGAGTACGCTTACTAGTTTAATTTTGTCCCAGAGAATCTGTCCCTCTCCCCTTTTTTTTATGTGCTCTGTTTTCCCCTGCTCTGAGACTTATCTAGTGAACAAAATTACAGTAAGTGGGGAGTTTGGGAAATCTGCTTTAGAAAGCACTTTTCTGAATCTTAGTGAAATACCAATATAGAAGTTCAGGTTGTGTGTAATATTGTTCCTTATGCAGAGAGAGAGAAAGTGTGTGTGTGTGTATATAAAAATATATATAAAACATATRTGTAAATGAATTTAAATTGGGTGTTCTATACTCAAAATGTGCTAGATCTTGATATATGCTTAGTAAGTTCTAGAATCTTAATGCTGAAGATATTTTGAACAATAATAATCTTACGTCAATAAAATATATATGGTTGATTGAAAGTGTTATTCTTCAGTTACACTCATTGCTTTCTGTTATTATAATTGTCTAATATTAGAGAGCATCCTTTTTGTGTTTGTTTAGTTGTGGCATTACCTTTGGACGTAGACTCGAGTGTCCTTGGAAGTAGAACAGAGTTTGCCTCATACATGAGTTGCAGGAGTCCTGGCTAATTTTTTTTTTTTTTTTTTAATAAATAGGCAAAGTTAACTCAACATTTTTATTTATTTATTTTTCTTTTTTTTCTTTATAAAATGAGACATGCTCTAGTAAGTTCCTCATAGGTTTCCTTGTAATCACAGACCTGTTTTTCTCACTGCCCTGGGCTTGTTGGTGTAAGAGGAAGGCATGGGAGGTTGGTCAAAGGACCAGCGTATGCCTGAGCGCGGCATTTGAGTCGTTCCTTAGAATCCTACTGCTAAAAGGTTCGTGAGGGGGTTTTAGGAACTGAGAAATTCTATGCAGCATATACTTTATAGCACAAGTACTGCTTATATGCAGCCATAAGTTAAGCTGTAGTTTAAAGAGATAAAATCTCAAGTGAGGAAAAAAAAAAGAAAACCTGCTTGAAGCAGCTATTAAATTGTGTGCTGCAGTCTAGTTGGATGTAAATGCTGCTAATACTTTAGGACCCCCTGCAGCTCTCGCCTTCCCTCCAACGCAGAGGATGACACTCCTCTGTGTTGGAGTGGAGGAAGGATTTGTTCTTGTCGGGTAGTATGAAGGGCAAATTTTAACAAGCAGTAGCTGGTCTAAATGTGATTTAGAAGGTCAGAATAAAGTTCAACTGATTGTTTTGCTACTGAGGCTTTAAAAAGAGGGGCAAATATGTACTTCGCTAATGTTTCCCAAGTCAGAAGAAGTAGCCAAAATGCCYTCAGATAAGAGCATAGATATTAATTCTAAAGACTACTTGAATATTCTTTATGTTGAGAAAATGTGTTTGTGAATTAGTACATTTACTGTCAAGATGATGATTGTAGGAGTTTGAGTGGACTCTGCTTTTGGCCTGTTGGCTAGTACTTAGATAAGTAAATAACTTTTACTGCTCTTTCTTGCACTCTTCATTAACTTAGATATTTAATATCATCCCATACCAAAAATACTTCTGTACATTTTGGTTTGTAAAACTGTGGCTTTCAAGGAAGACCATGGGAGACAGCAAATAGTCTACAGTTTCCTGATCAGAAAACGTAAACTTTGCATGATTTGGTAGAGGTCTTTACAAAATAAAATAAAAATACTACTCTTCCAAGTTATCTCTTCTGCATCTTTGTTTTTCTCCTAATTAGATAAATACCTCTTCTGATCAAAGATATGTATGCTTTTCTGTTTTCATAGTAATATTCCAGAGTTTTTTTTTTWAAATTTATTTCTGAAATATTCTTGGAGTTGTCTTTTGTTTTTACATGCTGCAGGGAAAAGCAGTTGTAGAAACAAATCAGAGGAGTTACCAAACTAATAAGTATTATGGAGATCATTCTTTGAAAAGCATTTCATGTACTTGCTCTTTTTGCTATTTGCGTCACAGTTCTTTCAAATCTTTTTTTTTTTTTTTTTTTTTTCCCCTTCTTTCCTCTAGGTTTGGCTAAAATCCACTAGAAGTACAGTTAACCTACTATTCAGTTAACTTGCCATTCTTCTTTGTAAATATTTTAACGTGGACACTTGTGAGTTAATTCTGACATCCAGTAAAACAAAATAATTAATGTGGTTATTTTAACGGTACCAAAGAGTAGATTATGTGGATATAAAGGCAAAGGTATTTGCTCTTTAAGCAAAGGTAATAGTAGACAGTAGTAGACAGGCATTATTTGTGCATACATTATGTTATGGTAATTTACCTCTGAGATGATGTTAATGTGAAAAAAATAAATGTATTCTTCTGGATTTGGTATGCACTATTTTATATCATGTCACCAGAAAACAGTTCAAAGCTCTTTGCTCTGTGGATGATTTCTGCAGTTTTCTCTCCTCTGTCCTCCTCCTC